TGTTTACGTTTTTGGTCTCATTGTGTGCACTTTCTCTTGTCTCTGCTTTGATGTGGTCTGCAATGCAGTCAAAACCAGGCGAGTTTAGATACGTGGCAGTCAGAGGAAAAACAGAATCAAACATGTATATAAGTTTTCATGAGCATGAAGGCAGTAAAAGAACAGTTCCTAGAGGAGATGGCAACACCACAGCAAATGGATCATATAAAAGTGAAGATATTTCGTTTTCAAAGTTTTCAACAATCAAATGCTCCAGTTTACCCGTGGTGTTTCCAGATGTACCGCTAACCCAGCAGTGGATGCTTGTCATTCTCCCTTCAATCGATTCGCTAGATTATGTTTTCTCAGAAAACTTCTACACCAATGATGGCAGACGACAGGTGGAAGTTACATCCATGACTTCCGAAAACCACGTTCCATTTGTTTGTCAGATTTGGGCCCGATCTAAAGGTTCGGAAGGCAAAGTAACTCACCGGATTACACCCTGCTCGGGAAGAGCAGTCATGACTCCTGGGTTGTGAGTACATCTTACAATGTAATAGCATCAAAGCTAGTAAATGTCTCTCATTGCTTTCAAAGACACATTACCGCTGCCAAGATTACTGTTTGTAGCATAGTCATCAGTATCTTTCAATCTTCATGTCGACGAAGACCATTTTTTTTCATTACGACAGAAATTAAACAATTAAGTAAAAAATTAAAAATGCATTTGAAAGAAGTTGACATGTCAAACCATTTCCACTAAACCCGACCAAGCGCCACAATACAGTTTCAATTAGCATAAGTCAATTAAAATTACAAAGCGTAGGCCTATCATTCCATATTATCCGGAAAAAAACCCCGACATTTTCAATTTTCTGTCTGAACTTTGTATTAAAACCTCGGACATTTTTGCTCATTTTAATAATTATGCTATTGCGCGTGCAGCATTAATGCGTCATTCATTTGGCGGACTTTCACAAACTGGAGAGACGGAGAACAAGGCCAAGTTTCCGACCAGAAATTTAAGAAGGTTCAGGTTTTCTTCTTTTGCTGAACATGTGATTTTTGTGGATTATCTTTTGGCACGCGAGCTTTGTAGTTATATGTGAGATACTGGTAGTAGTGATTTATATGCATTAGGACCTATACAGAGAATCCACGCTCGCTGAATTTGAATTTTGAAAACATACTTTAAGTACAAAGAAAATCTCTATATACACTGATGTTCAAAGGTAAAGCAACATTCCTTTATTTTCAATTATCTCAATAACCAAGCATTGGATATCCAGCGAAATTCCCCGGTGGCGTCAAATGGCGAATAGGCCTAATAGTATGCCATCAAGCTGGATTATTAGATTGCCAGAAGGAACAAAATAGCGGCAGGTCCAGTGTATACCCTTGCAGCAACATGAGATCATGTCAGGCACAGACCTCGTTCTGGGTGAACCAGATTGACAAATACAAGGGGCAATTATACCTATAGTCTTATATTAGTCTTTGTCATCAGAATCGCTTCTTGTCGGCAAGACAGCTTGGAATTATTTATGCAAGAGAGATTCAAAATGGGGAGCGACAGAGCGACGAAACTGAGACTAGGAGCATAGTTAATGCAAATAATAGGTGAAATATCACCTTGGTGCGGTATAATGCGCCCGTCCGTAAAACACGCTCGTGCATTTGGACGCGCTGCATCATGGCGGCATCCACAGTTTTGTTTGGCATGCATATTCTGATCGGGTGGAATTGTGGGTAGAATGTCCGCTTCCGGAGCAGAGGACGTGGATTCAACCCTGACCGGGGACATACCAAATGGGAATTAGAATCTGTTTGTTTGGTACTAAGTTCTTAATCAGTATCTAGCAGTTAAAGGTATCGTTCGTAGGCTAGCTTTGAGCACCCCATACAGCAGCTGTGCTGTAGCCTCCCCAGGGAGGCAAAAACGTCTACACCCAGTCTGAATCAGGGCCCAAATATATGGCAGGCACATCGCCATCTAAACTAAACCGCGGTGAGACGCAGTGCACGATATAAGTAACAGACTCCATCTGATCATAACTTACAGGTGGCCATTTGGTGCTGAGAGACAAAGTCTGGGGAGACACACCAAGAACTGATCTGCTCGTTGCGGTGTATAGTTTACTGTTTATTTTTTGAGTCCATCTCCATTTGGAATCAATTCAGAGATGGTTGAATTCAGAGAAGTTTTTAATTTTTGCTTAAAAGCTGCTTTGAACCAGGAGGTAATTTTTGCTTTTGGAGCCAGCTTTTCAGCCAATGTAACCATTTTATTCATATATATATATATATATATGTACAGCCACTTGCTCTATTAAAATGCCTTGAGTGGTGTATTGATGACGTGCTCAACTTCAACAAAATATTTATGAAATATGAAAGAAAATTGCGCAGGCAAATTTAAAAATTGACTTTGACACTACCTGTAGAAAATTTTGAGTCATTCAAGGTGTTCCTTATCTTTTGAGCACATGTATATGCATATCCTTATTGACAATTATAAAGAACATATAGTGTTGGTAGAAAATGTATGTATGTATGCATGTATGGATGCGCACGTATGTCGAATAACCTGAAGAGTATAATACCGGTACGATATCACTTAGACATGGGCAAACCAAGTGTGCAAGAAAAGATGCTACATTCATGCAAGGCACAAGAATGTTTAAAGATTTTGATCTTATTCTGTGTGCTTGCTTTTGTCTTTGCTTTAAAATGGTCTTTGATGCAGTCAAAACCAAGTGAGTTTCGATACGTGGCAGTTAAAAAAACAGAGGCAAACATGAATATCAGTTCTCGTGAGCATGAATACAATGAAAGAAGAGTACACGGAAGAAAAAAGGTCATTACAGCAAATGGTTATTTCAGAAGGAAAACGATTATGTCTTCAAAGTGGGACAGAAATTTCTGCTCCAATTTACCCGCGGTTTCTCCAGATATACCGCTAACCCCAACGATGGATGCCAGTCATTTCCCCTTCAAACGATTCACTGGATTATGTTTTCGCAGCATACCTCTACACCAAAGATGCCAGGCGACAGGTGGTTGTTACATCCATGACTTCTAACAACAGTCAAGCATTCGTTTGCCAGATATGGCACATGGGGAAAGGTAAAGGACAAGAGGGCAAAGTATATCATCGAATTACACCCTGCTCGTACAGAATGGTTTTGAGGACCGACCTGTGAGTACACATGTTGCAGTATGGTAGTAGTTTAATATGAATGTTCTTGTAGTAGCGTTATACAGTGACAATAACACCTTCTGATAGGCCTATGTATCTTTCTTGTATCTCTGAAACATTTTATTTTTATTTATACATAAAGTACAGAATAATACTTTGTTTACTAACATCCCCGGTAGCAGATACGCGATCAAGACGATTTTAATATAAATTCAGATAACAGACAAAGGTGTTAAAAAAATTAACAGGGTGGCAGTGTTGTTCGCTATGACGCCACCCAAAACCCATCAATCTCCCACACGCCAACATTTGACATACAATAGACTAAAACCAAGACAGTGGCGGATTTAGAGGGGATCAGGGGGTCCTGAAGCCCCCCCCCTTCGGTTTCTCAAAAAAAAAAAAAAAAAATACTAATATTCCCCTATTGGAATTAGAACTTTAACTAGCTGATTTATAATACTAAACCGTACCAGATGGCACCGTTCACGTTCTAAAATACCTGAAATTTCCAGGGGCCCCCGGCGTGCCCCACGCCAACCGGGGGAGGAGCGGTCGGATTCGCATAAGCGAATCCCCCCATTCAAATAATCCTTGATTCGCCCGTGCAAGTTGTTGACCCAGTTTGTTTCAGTGTGTGTTTGAGTGTTGAGATGGTATTATTGTTTTCACGCTTAGCGTTTTTTTCAACTATATCTTTTGCAGATACAAGGCCACTCTCCTTTATTGTCCCATCAAAACTGACGAAGAGCCGTTTGCAGTTTCAATTGTACAGGCCAAAGACCCGTGTTCAGCCCCTCACAATGTTTTAAGAATCCAGGATGCTAGTTTTCCAGACGACAAGAACGACACTGTTGCCGTATGCGTTAAGCCCTTTTACGGCAGTTATGGTGGTTTTAATAGGACCGCAAGATTGGTTGAATTCTTTGAGGTTTATAAAATGCTTGGTGCCAGCTATTTCACTTTGTATGATTTTGATCTAAATTGTAACATAACTTGCCCTATTTTAAAATATTACGAACAAGAAAAAAGACTATCCGTTATACCGTGGCACGCACCGCCAAACCTGAGAACGAAACTGAAACAATTTTTCGATTCTACAAAGAGATGGGTCAGAGATGCTGGGCAAGCCTTAGCCCAAACTGACTGTCTTTACAGAAGTATGGGGAAGTACACTCACATAGCCATGGTAGACATTGATGAATTTCTCATTCCTAGATCCAACATGACTTTCCAAAAACTATTCAGTGTGTTACCAAAACATCAAGGAGCGTATACATTTCGGAACAGATTTTTTCATATTGATAGTGACACAAGGGTTTCCAATCTCACCAGTTTGGGATTAAGGACTCGTAAATACCGACCAAGGACTATAATGGCTACCCGTGGAGAAAGTGCTCTAGTAAATAGACCAAAGTACGTTGCCTTGTCTGAAGGCACATGGGGTGCCGTAACACACCACGCAAGATTAATAGAAGGTTACAAGGACTATGTGGTACCAGTGGAACTGGGGGCCATGCACCATTATCGAGATAATACTAGAAAACATGAGAATCAATATGATCCATACATGTTATCTTATAAAGAGGAAATATTACACAGGATGGAATATGTGTTCAATAAAACCAAAGCGCAGGTCTTCGACTGACTTTCACGGCTGGGATACATTTGTAACTCTTCGAATAGTACAGCGACGCAATTATTCTTTTTGTTTTTATTGGAGAAAATCCGTTTCGTACCCTAAAACACAGTAAGAAAACAATTTGAAGATACAAATTCTAAAGAATCTAAATTTATTATATCTCTAATTATCCTTAGACTTTAAGATAGTGGGATTTCAAAGCGTACCCCGACAACAAAATCAGATGCACAGGAGCACTGGATGACTATGTAGTGAAGAAAGAAATAAAATTCAAAATCATAAATGCCTATGAAAAACAGAGACAATGCTTTTACAGTGAAAGGTACAAAGTACATCGACGTGCTCATATAAAGATATCAATTTTCACTTATATTAAGTAATTTCGTCAACGAAGCAATTTATACGCACGATCACGTGAGACTAAAGGCGCCAAAGATGACAATCCTCGCGTGAACAAAGAGAGCAACACAGATGGCACTCAAAAACGAAGAGAGCATGTGATAGTGCGTTACACATTGATATGATAGAAAGTATGTGTTTTGTGTTGTGTGCTATGGGTTTCCCTCTTCCGTTGGCCCACTGGGATATAGTCCACTAACCCCCCGCGAAAATTTGTCTCATTTACGGTTCTCAATCTATTCTAGAATATTTAGTGTATTTTTTTTACAGTTCTAATGCTATAATTGTTCTGTAATGAATGTACCAGTTCGAGAACTGTTTTTGGGAATTCCTTCAGAATGTCTTAGAACAGATAAGGAATATTTTTCATTAAAATAACAATATGTTCTAGGACAGATTGAGAACCTAAGTGAGCGTTAAATGAGACACATTTTCGCAGGGGAAGGTCAATAACAATAACAATTTTGTTACCCATAGTGCAGAAGCAGACATTTGATTACAAATTAATAATTCAATGAGCAAAAACACTATTAAACTGCTTGTTTTTCTTGCAGGTGGCTTTTAATTTGCATATCACTATTTCTCTTTGCTTCATGTTTTGATTTATCACGAACTAGAGTGACACATTAAAAAGGTCAAGTTTAGGACGAAAAATTTGGATAAAGTGCAGTATTATACCTCGTTTACTGTCTGATTGGGTGAATGATGTGGGTTATATTTTGGAATATGGATTTTACTTGTGTATAAAACTGGTAGTAGGAATTTGTATGTCTTAAAGGGAATGTACACGGCTGTACTATCCATTTTTATATATCTTTAAGGGTAAGAATAAATTCACTAGCTTTTGGTTTCAGTTGATTAGATACTATTCATTTTGGTATATTTTGCCTCTGAAGCATGATGTATGTTATCTCTACATAAGAGAACGTGAAAATCTAGCTACATGTAATACTCCACTGTCATCACAGCTTTAAGTAATATATACCTACCCGGGTGAGGATGCAAATCCATACGAATACCAAACCCACCCGGGCTAGATGCCCAACTCCCGTGTTTATATAACTTAAGGTTAAACCATATAATCTAGAGGTACACGTAATCCATCATTTTATTCAGTGTTATTTCATTATTCCTTTCTCTTTGCCTGCTGTTGCAACAGCACGGTTGGCACTAAGAATTTATGGTCTTAAAACAGTTCAGTGTCACGATACCTTTAGTTTTCAAAGCTCTAGAATATTCAATATCACATACAGGTAGTTTATTCACAGAATTGGCACTATGAATTTACCGTATTAAAGCAGTTTAGTTTTCACAGCTCTAGAATATTCAATATCACATACAGGTAGTTTATTCACAAAACTTACAGCGTTTTATATTGATGACTCTTTGTTTTCCAATCCGAAATAAACAGAATTAAGACATTTAACATAATTAAACTGAGGCTGATTTAAACTTTAATTGGAGATGAGGCCGTATTTGATCCTTTTAAAACTGAAAACATCCTTTAAAACTTGGTTTTAAAAATTAATAAAATACATGGACAGATTCACTTAGTACCATCATAACTGGGACATCTGAATAATCTTTACTAAATATTGATGGGATTTGTCAGAGAAGAATTTCATCAGCTGTGTTAAGTTATAAGAATGATGTGAATTTTTCTTCAGTCAACAGCTAATATTGAGATAGGTTTTACCTCCAATATTTCGACGTCTATCAGGACATCTTCTTCAGGGAAGATGTGATTTGATTTGTATGTGGAAGTTTCTAAAATATTATTTGGTCACATGAAATCTTCACCATGGCAGTTTAATAAAACCAAGGCACAGGTATAGTCAACTAACTTTTGCAAATGGTAAACATTAATATGATATAAAGTATTAGTATTAGTGCCTTGATAAATTCAAATTAGATTCGAGATTTCTCTCTTTCTTCATGCAACGTTAAATGAAAATAAACCATGATATTGTGCTTTAGGGTTTCCATCACAATTGTCAGGCGTCACATGTACTGGATTCAAGATAACTTCCATTTTGAAGGTATCATCTGCGATGCAACAACCATGTTATAGTCACATTCATAGAGATTTAAAATTCTTAACTCTGACAAAAGTGGTAACATTATACTTAAATACGTAGTTCAAATACTGCTACAAGATTTATTCCATACTGCCATTTAACACAATTTGTTCACATACTATTTTATTATTTGTTCTTCTCTATCCAAATCATTTTAATTTTTCTGTTATTTAACAGCAGTTGAACTTTGTTCTAAATCCATATCTAGGTAACCTTTCCCTCAATTCACAGCATTTACATTATTTTTTTTTTTGGTCCACATATCCTAAAAATGTTCATGACAGTCCACATCTGGGCAAATATATATATATATATATATATATATATATATATATATATATAAATATATATAAAACTCCTTTTGTATACTTGCTCTTGAACATCTATCCATGCAATATAAACACTGTTCTGCTGCCACCCAATCAAATCATCATGCCTGTAACATGGTCTAGTCTGTTGAGGTAAAAAAAAATCAAGTCTTTTGATCGGATTGATATATTCCTGGCATACCAAACCAGTCTCCATCAATCTGCATAAAAGGCACCATTCATTTCAAACCACACAATTGGTACGATTCCCCTCAATCCACATCCACAGCATCTTTTTCCAAAGCTTGCCTGTCTTTTGGTGGTGGGGTCTGAAAATAATTCGATTATAATGAGATTTACTCAAGTACATGATTTTGCAGCTCCACTTGCCATGCTACCCTTTAATTTTAAAGGGATAACAACTGTTCACTCTGGTCAAAAAATGGATTTTCCTGATGCTTTCCAATGCTTAATGGATCCATTCTGACACTCAAAATTAGTCCACATTTTTTTTCAAAACTGTTTGGTTTTTTGTTATAATCTATAGAGAGATTATTATGGAGGAACAGTTGTCTGTGAAGGTCCACAAGGTGTGATGGCAAAGACAACTGCAATAACCACTGTTTTGGTGTTTAAATGGAATTTATATTTCTTAGAGTTGTTTACAATGTATTTATTGTGCAAAATAAATCTCATATGAACAGTTTTTATCCCTTTAATTAAGCCATAAAACTGGAGTACACAAAAATAAATAAATAAATAAACAGTTATAAAAACATATACCACACTGGGGTAGCTCTAGCAATTTTTTTTTGCTTGGCTAAATCACCACTTTTTGTCAATTTGCTATCCAAATGGTTATAATTTGACTAAAACAATACAATACAAAAACAATACAAAAAAAAAACAACAACACAAAAAAACAATACAAAAACTTGCACTGCTTTATTTCTGTATATGAAGAATTTGAGTTTTTACATAAAGGAGCCAAGATTTGAAAGAGGTAAAGAAAAATACTGTCAAAAAATTTTTGTACCTTGGACTGGGAAGGTCTATCTTTGTCAACCAAGGGCTTCTCCTCTTCTGCAGTTTCTGTGTCATAACTCTCATCTTGTATGTTCTCTAAGATTTCCAGTTTAGGCACTTTTGCATCTGGTCCAACAAATTCTTCTGGCTCTTTTTTGATCATCTTGGTAGAAGTGCCATCCTCCTCTAAAGGCTGTTGCTTTGGTAACATGTTGGTTGTACTGCAATCCATTTCAGGTTTACTTTCACTTTCACTTTCAAAGTTTGCAGATTCTTTAAATTCTTCATCCTAGAATAAAAGTGAAGTAGTTAGAGTCCAGTAGTCACTTCTCTGACTACAAAACACAAATCTAGAAGTTGTGTTTTCTATGAAGTTTTGGTTTCTTGATTCAGGTTTAAATACAAATTCACAATTGTTTTACTTTTCAGATACATGAACTGCACCTTGCTGCAAATTTAAGATATTTTACTTCTTTAGACCTTAACAAAAAACACCTTGCAATATTTATATGGGCTGAAACAATAATGTCTTTCATATACCAGGGCATGTTTAAAAGGGTATTGGCAATGTCAAATTGCTTATAGTTGCCCAAGTAGAATCCAAGCTAATGATGTTATTTGTCTCGTTAAGACCCATAATCAAGAAAGGACTTCATATAGGAAAAACAACATTAAAGTTAAAAAAAGTATTTCATTTGTGCCACAGCTGAAGTTCTTCAATTTCAATGTTAACACTGTGAAGACCAGACTCCCATGCTCCTCCCCATGCTATCAAACCTCTTCTTTTCATTTTTAACACAAACAAACAAGCAAAAACATCAATCATATGTAGTATATTTCTTGTAAGATTCTGAAAATGGAGGATTAAGACTATACCAAAACTGCTCTTATTTTGTATAAATATGCCTAATATTAAAAACTCGATAAAAATAAATTAAATAAAAACCATTGAAAATTTCCTCCTTTGGATGTGATAAATAAATATTTAAATAAACAATTAACTAATCTCACCTGGGTGTCATCTTTTTCATTCAGTCTGTTCTGTGTCTCTTGTAGCTGTATATGGAGAGCACAGTATTCCTCCTCAGCTGCCACTGGCCTCACACAGGTACCATACCCCCAGCCACATGGCTTGAACAATACTTGATTGGGGTCCTCCAGTATATCTACAGGGGCTAGGTCAAGGTCATGACATGATTTTATAGCGCGTGAAGTCTGATAAAAAGCAGATCACATTGAATGCACAGTGTGTTTGTGCTCAGATATAGTTTGAAATGTTGACCTCTAAATCAATTTATCTCGTTCATTTTCCAAAACATAATGTTTACGTCTGAAAATGGTGATTTGGAAGGACTGCAGGATTTCATGAGTCCAGGTCAGAAAGTACATTTTCTAAGTTCAAAATGGCAATGGATATAAAATATGATGCTTACATACATACATACATACATACATACAGGGTTATGAAACTTTTAGTCATTAGTTTTAATATATATCAAACAAGTCAGTGATTGCTTCAGAGAGTTTAACCTTGTACAATTTAAGCTCTAAAACCCAGGTACCAAGCATTATTTTACATATCAATTCTGTCTGACTATAGACTTTACTTCAGCAAGGTTTTAAAAGGATACGTTGAATGCAGAATTTGGCAAGTGGAACTGTCCTGGCAGCACACTTGATGTTCCCGGAAGAAATGTGTGTACATTTTGGGTGTGGAGGTGCCTTGTAATTGGCACCCTCTGACACTGCTATACGCCTCTCTTTTGATTGCCTATGCAACAGTGCCTCCTGGATAGGAAAACGCAAATGAGCAAATGTTATAGAATACTGTGCCCTTTCTGTCCTCAATTATGGAACACTTAGCAACAAATTCTCTGTGATTAAAAAAAAATTATCATCTATTGGTTTAAAAAAAATAAACATTTTAAGTGAAGTGGGATGCTTCTAACATGATAACAAAATGATGCTGGGCACTCCTCTTTGACATGTGGCATATGGGAAGGAAAATTACAATGTGGCAGCACCAGCATCTGAATACAATATTCATTGACAAGCATTACCTCAGCGTGCTGTCTACAAGGCAGAGCCAGAGTACAGATTGACCCTGAACTACTTCACTGCATGGCAACAGATGTCAGCCAATCTACGTCAGCAAGAAACGATAAATAGTCTCACCTTTCCATGCCTCTTGTGGTATCTTTTAAGCGCCATCAGCTTGTCGTACTTGTCTTTCTGGTGGGGATCACTCTTTGCTGCATGGATACTTCCTATAAATGAAAACAATATATATAATGTATTCAACTTTTGTAAATGTGTATCATAATTTAACACATTATGGAGAGAGAGAGAGAGAGAGAGAGAGAGAGAGAGAAATTCAGTTTTCAGAAAAGTAAAATTTTGTCAGTGCATTTACAACAGTGCACCTCAACCATCCCAAAACAAGATCTGTAAGCAAACATACCCAGACACATATTAAAATATTTTTGCACTTATTACAATGTGATAGTTTTGGGCTTCCCTTGTACAGATAGGAAAATAATCAGTAGACTTGCAAATTAAATTGTAATGTAGTCACCTGCATATACATGCAACTCATCATAGTTTTTATTGTAATAACTTGTAATATCTTTTTCATTGCCTCTATCTCCCTTTAAAGTTTAATCTTCTATCTTTCTATATTTTGTCATACCATTTCAACTTTAAAATCAGACAAAGACCTGAGAATAAATGAGTTTTGAAATTTGGAAACTAAGCTGCTGTGTTGTGTTTTTTTTTCCTGAGGTCCTTACGAAAAAAAAAAGTTTTTGGCAATACAGTTTCAAACATTGGTTTGCATTTACTGAGAGATGAGCTCACCTAAGGTTTCTGCTTCCATTCTCTTTGCCATGAGCAGCTTCCTCCTCTTCTCCTTCAGAACATGTTGCAGACGTTTAAACTGGTCTATATACAGGGACTGGAGACGTATCAGCTTATCTCTGGTTACCAAGGCAACCTCCTCAGCAGTATAAACACCAGCATGTCTGGAAGAGGATAGGAGAGGGAAATGGAAATATGTTAAGATATTTCAGTCTGTGACATTAGCCTGCGGCCAGTAAGATTTTGTTTGGACCAGTAGTTATTTCAAATTGTGTGAATTTTAAGGTTCGACATGGCCACTAGCATTTTTTTCTGTAAGTTTTCATTTTTCTTTTACATAGAGAAATCCCCAATTAAACAAGAAATGTATCTATATTTGCAAAACGGGTCACCAGTATTTATATCACGGTAAAAAAGCGTGCCAGATGTATACATGGAGCCAAAAGCCAACACATCTCACCATGGTTAGCCTTTACTGCACAATAAAATGACCACAGCACCAATTAAAAAGTTAAGAAAAAAAAAATCCCAAAGAGATGCCAACTGTTCTTACTTGAGTGGGTCTTCCTGCTCACTGTCAATGCTCTCTGCATCGCTGTCCATGTCTCCTCTCCAAGCCTGGTCCACTACTGGCATCTCTCCATCTGAATCACTGGAGCTGGCATAATCTGGATAAAATATAGAGAGATGTTATCATTTTGGGTCCATGTTCTTTTCCTCACCCCCAAGTCAGGCTCACAACTGTGTTCCTTCTATCTTTCGAATTCAAAATTTTTAGCAGTTTTTTTTTTAATGATCAAAGAGACAGTTTGTAGACAGAAAAACATGCACAGAATATCAATAAAAATTGAAAAAAAAAAAAAAAATATATATATATATATATATATATATATATATATATATATATATATATATATATATATTTAAGTTCAGATCCTGAATTCAAAGAACCTGGCATTTAAGCCCTTAAAAGATAATTCAGAGACTGAAAACAAACCCCCGAAATCACCTAGAATTCTATTGACCAAACTGTCAGCAGAAGGTCTCTGTCTTTTGCTCTCTTTGTTATCCCCTCCTCCTCCCATCTCATTATAGTGCTCAATGTCTTCAAGTAATGTCTCAGGTGTCTCACGAGGACGTGCTTTACGACTTGTGCGCTGACGAATGTAGGCTGCCTTCCGCGCGTGGTCTGCACAATAACTGAAAATGGGATCAGAGCATCTTCAATGAAGTCCATTCTGACTGACTACCACAGATTTTCAAAATTGAGCTTTTGAGACAACAAACCGTCACAATACTTTAACAGCTTAATTTCCATCAGGTTTTAATGGATGGAACTCTTAATATAATCAGTAATCTTATCCCTTACACAGATCAGGGCATATACGAGTCAGAAAAAAAAAATGTTACCATACTTCACATTTTGGAACTGTACAGTAACAAAAGGCCATTTTACAGTAGTACTGTTTGAAGTGATACAGTTATCCATACTGGTTGTATCATCAATCATGTCTGAAATAATAAAACTGAAATATGTGAACTTGTAAAGTTTGTCAGAAATCACCATACCCGTCCTTCCTATCAGACTTGGGTGCAGCATTGGGACACCTCTTCCCACTTTTATTGGACATGTAGTTGCATTGTTTGTAGGGTGCATTTTTATCTTCCAGCAAGTGTTTGCTGCAGTACTCATATCCTAAATAATAATAATAATAATAATAATAATAATAATAATAATAAAATTACATCCACCCTACTTTTTGCTATTTTAACATCACAGTGACATTTCTTTAAACAGAAAGGTCATTTAAGCAATGTATGTTACATAAAGGTGAGGAGGGAGGATGCTGTGTAGGCCTCCACATCATTATTCCCCTTTGTCATATTATGATATTAACTCACAATTACATTCCTGCATCAATACTCCCCACAATGCTACTTCACACATAAGAGAGTGAAACTGGGGAGTGGGGGTGTAACAATACAGGGAGGCCTTCCAAGCCAGAATGGTCTGTACTTCACCTTCACTTTATTTGGTCCAGAACCTAGCATATGTGGTGCCCTTGAAACCCCTCTTCACTTTTTCTTCAGATGCCCTTTACTCAATTCAAAGTACCCTCCCCTTTACCAAAAAATAAATGAAACTCTACATGCAAGCAAGACCTCTTTCAAAACACAAAAAGAAAAGCTGTCGTTATTTCTCTACGGTCATAAATCCTCATCTCCCACCCAAAATGAAATTACCTTCGACACTGTTGCAAATTTTCTTCTCGTAAACTTTGTTATCACTTAATAGGTACTATCTCTTTTCCTCTTCTTTCTTTCTGTACTTAACTTGTGCTCCTGATATATATNTCTCCAAGCCTGGTCCACTACTGGCATCTCTCCATCTGAATCACTGGAGCTGGCATAATCTGGATAAAATATAGAGAGATGTTATCATTTTGGGTCCATGTTCTTTTCCTCACCCCCAAGTCAGGCTCACAACTGTGTTCCTTCTATCTTTCGAATTCTAAATTTTTAGCAGTTTTTTTTAATGATCAAAGAAACAGTTTGTAGACAGAAAAACATGCACAGAATATCAATAAAAATTGAAAAAAAAAAAAAAAATATATATATATATATATATATAAGTTCAGATCCTGAATTCAAAGAACCTGGCATTTAAGCCCTTAAAACATAATTCAGAGACTGAAAACAAACCCCCGAAATCACCTAGAATTCTATTGACCAAACTGTCAGCAGAAGGTCTCTGTCTTTTGCTCTCTTTGTTATCCCCTCCTCCTCCTCCCATCTCATTATAGTGCTCAATGTCTTCAAGTAATGTCTCAGGTGTCTCACGAGGACGTGCTTTACGACTTGTGCGCTGACGAATGTAGGCTGCCTTCCGGGCGTGGTCTGCACAATAACTGAAAATGGGATCAGAGCATCTTCAATGAAGTCCATTCTGACTGACTACCACAGATTTTCAAAATTGAGCTTTTGAGACAACAAACCGTCACAATACTTTAACAGCTTAATTTCCATCAGGTTTTAATGGACGGAACTCTTAATATAATCAGTAATCTTATCCCTTACACAGATCAGGGCATATACGAGTCAGAAAAAAATGTTACCATACTTCATATTTTGGAACTGTACAGTAACAAAAAGCCATTTTACAATAGTGCTGTTTGAAATGATACAATTATCCATACTGGTTGTATCATCAATCATGTCTGAAATAATAAAACTGAAATATGTGAACTTGTAAAGTTTGTCAGAAATCACCATACCCGTCCTTCCTATCAGACTTGGGTGCAGCATTGGGACACCTCTTCCCACTTTTATTGGACATGTAGTTGCACTGTTTGTAGGGTGCATTTTTATCTTCCAGCAAGTGTTTGCTGCAGTACTCATATCCTAAAAATAATAATAATAAATATAAGAAAATTACATCCACCCTGCTATTTGCTATTTTAACATCACAGTGACATTTATTTAAACAGAAAGGTCATTTAAGCATTGTATGTTACATAAAGGTGAGAAGGGAAGGTGCTGCGTATGCCTCCACATCATTATTCCCCCTTTGTCATATTATGATATTACTCACAATTACATTCCTGCATCAATACTCCCCACAATGCTACTTCCCACATAAGAGAGTGAAACTGGGGAGTGGGGGTGTAACAATACAGGGAGGCCTTCCAAGCCAGAATGGGCTGTACTTCACCTTCACTTTATTTGGTCCATAACCTAGCATATCTGTAATAATATTTATAATATGTGAATGGGTGCCGGGCCAAGCATGATAATACAATTAGTCACTCTACTTTACCTTCTAACCTGTTCTGCATACAAATTCTGTGTGAATAGTTGCAAAATTGGCCTTCAGTTGGAAGTTTCACTCTCTTTAACATCTGTGCCCGTTGCTTATACATGGCTTTGTTGTATTTAACAGGAAATTGAGCTGATTTACCTGCAACCAAAGCATTTCAATACTTTTTGAGGTATTTAAAGCATTTGAAACATACATCTAGTACTACAGTGTTTAATCAGACTGTGCCAGTATTGAAGCCGGGTGCAAACGGCTGGAGAAATTCAGGAAGTAAAATAGAGAAAGTACAGCTTTCTTCACAAGGAAAATTCAAGACGAAGGTCAATAAGCCGAGTTTTATCGTTAACATTATCAATCGTATTGATACTGTGGAATTGAAAAGATGCAGAAAACGATTACCATCAAGCAGTGTTCAATACGTGCCAATGTTAAGCATTTATGACCTACATCTGACTGCGTTGCACAGGGAAGTTATCGCAATTTTCTAAGAAAGACAGGTTGGCATAAATTTTGACGCACCTGCTGAACCCAGTTTCGAAGACGAGGTATTGACCCAGTTTTACGGAGAGTAAAGAAAATTCGATTTCAACACTATTTCACATAGCAATAAAGAAAATACAGATTGATTCTGTTATTAAAACATGTTATTTTCGTTGTCACAGTTCATTTTCTAAGGCTCACGATTAAGAAATATACATANCCTAAGCATATCTGTCATATTTAATATAATATGTGAATGGGTAGGCCAAGCATGATAATACAATTAGTCACTCTACTTTACCTTCTAACCTGTTCTGCATACAAATTCTGTGCGAATAGTTGCAAAATTGGCCTTCAGTTGGAAGTTTCACTCTCTTTAACATCTGTGCCCGTTGCTTATACATGGCTTTGTTGTATTTAACAGGAGATTGAGCTGATTTACCTGCAACCAAAGCATTTCAATACTTTTTGAGGTATTTAAAGCATTTAAAACATACATTTAGTACTACACTGTTTAATCAGACTGTGCCAGTATTGAAGCCGGGTGCAAACGACTGGAGAAATTCAGGAAGTAAAATTGAGAAAGTACAGCTTTCTTCACAAGGAAAATTCAAGACGAAGGTCAATAAGCCGAGTTAACATTATCAATCATATTGATACTGTAGAATTGAAAAGCTGCAGAAAACGATTACCATCAAGCAGTGTTCAATACGTGCCAATGTTAAGCATTTATGACCTACATCTGACTGCGTTGCACAGGGAAGTTATCGCAATTTTCTAAGAAAGACAGGTTGGCATAAATTTTGACGCACCTGCTGAACCCAGTTTCGAAGACGAGGTATTGACCCAGTTTTACGGAGAGTAAAGAAAATTCGATTTCAACACTATTTCACATAGCAATAAAGAAAATACAGATTGATTCTGTTATTAAAACATGTTATTTTTGTTGTCACAGTTCCTTTTCTACGGCTCACGATTAAGAAATATACATATTTTTCAAACTGTCAAACCAAGCGACACATGCGCAGTAGATAGTCTGTCTGTTCGTCTCGGTGCGGTAATCAATGGCGGGGGAACGATGGCTATTTTCTCAGTCACAACTTATCAACACCCCCAGCCGAGCATGTGGGATAGACTACGACAGAGAACTATCCTATAGACAACAGGCTGCCAACTTCATACAGGACATGGGACAACGTCTCCAAGTGTATCCTTTCTCTGAAAAAATTCAGTCCGAGTGGAGGCCCCCCCTACAACACGTGGAAGCGGATTTTCATTGTCTGGTTTGAATTTGCCGGTTTGTTAGACGCTATAATCGATCGTAAATATGCACTTAAATGCGTCCTCTAAGACCTAGAGATCCTTAAATTAACTTGAGTTGTAAAATTTTGGTAGAGCTTTCGCCCGTTTTCTTAAAAATTGACTTACTTTGAAGAGCCGGTTTGACGCGAACCCTCTCCACCGGAAGTGCAGTTATGACATGGAAATGCACACAACAGAGCGAATAGATATTGTCATCTCCTCTTAGTTATAATGTTTTACTTTTATGTGTGAACAAACAAATGGCTTTTTATTTCTCAAATCTAGTAATATCATTCCACAACGTTACATATTTAGTTTTGATCGTTTAATCTGACAGGAATTATAATAATAAAAATGAAATAAGTCATGTCAGGTCATTGGTGTTGAAATGTGCTTTGTTTTTTTTCTTGAATTGATGGACACTAAAAGATTTATTCTAAAAAGTGATGGTGAAACTAATAGATGTGACTTGGTAAATGAAAGCAGATAATCACAATTATTGAAAGTATTCACACTAAAATCTGCTGTTACTTTCAACAAAGATGATGTAAGACATGTTTTGGTGACTGAGACTTCTTCGTTAATTTTAGTTATAATTCATTGTCTCATTTTGCTACTGTCATATATAATTTTGATGCTATAAAAGGAGAATAGATTTTAAAAACATTCATTAACTGGATTGGATTTAAATATTTTTATGTATATTTTAAGTGGCTGATTTCCTTAACCAAAATTCCACAGAACTCAACTATGTATCAACACCGCCATTGTCTATATGCACCGTTTCTACATGTTCCAGTCCTTCTCAAAATTCCACCGCAATGTAAGTAATTTAGAAAAGTTATATTTAAGTCATTTACATTGGAGTCGCTCACAGCATAAGGTCTATTTAAATTTGCAAACAAGTTGGGCTCAAAATTCATTAGATATATTAAAGCATATATATATATATATTTAAAGGGGTGCAATTTTAGTCTTTGTAGGCAGAATATTCATCTCTTATAAAACTTCAAATGAGAGACTTCAGAGTGTTACATTTGTAAGCTTATTTTTGGAGGGATAAAAATGGCAAATTGGTAATAAATAGAATATGTAATAAAAATCAATTGGTGTTAATTACAACATACAAGTTATTAATCATGAAACATGATTTTATTACTACGCATAGATTTAATAAATAAAAAACTCCTACTTGAAAAGGACTCACCAGTGCAGTTATATAACCTAGACTAGATGGGTTATTAGTTTGTATTCACTGCAAGTATATGTCATGCAGGTTTAAGTTTCTGAAATAAATCCTGAAAATTTTCCCTTTCATTTAATCACCCTGTGTTTCTATTGGTACTTTCAGAGCATGTCAGCAGCTTGTATATTCCTGGCAGCCAAAGTAGAAGAACAGCCACGTAAACTGGAGCATGTTATTAAAGTGGCTCACATGTGCCTCCACAGAGAGCCTTTAGACGTGAAGAGTGAGGCATACCTAGAACAAGCACAAGAACTTGTCATAAATGAAAATATTCTGTTGCAAAGTTTAGGTAAGTGTTGTCTTGGGTTAGCTTTCATTGGTTTTTTTTAGATGTTTTTGAAAATAAGTAAAATATGCTAGTTTTATGTTGAGCATAAAGAATATTTTGAACAGTGAAGAGCTGATATTACTTTATTAACTCATGGGAAAACATTTATATTGTAGTTTACTAGTTAGTTTATTAGTAGGAAGCACCTGCAAGTTATAAGCAATATGTCCTTTCCTAACTCTTGAAAATATGATAATTCCTTATAACCATGGTTCTGGGATGTTCATATATTTGAGTCCGATTTTTTTAATTTCAGGTTTTGACGTGTCCATTGACCACCCTCACACTCATGTAGTTAAAACCTGTCAGTTGGTCAGAGGTAAGAGTTTGGTCTTTGGAGGTAAACTGCATGCTTTTTACCACATCTTACACAGCAGGCAGACTTCACTGTGTCTTTATTTGATAATGTGTACAAATGGGAACAATTTATCACTTCCTTGTTTTGAGTTCCTAGAAAAAAAATCGCAGATGCCGAACGTCACGTTTGAAGGGTGTTTAAGAGGGGATCAGGGGGAGTGAAAACGTTTGAGCCTTGAAAGGAAAGCAATTGTAGCAGCAGTATTTGCTTCTGGTTATTATTGATATTGTATTTGATAAAGAGGGTTGGAACAGGTTTTGTCATGCTTTGGGGCGAAATATTCGTGAAGAGCAACAAGAGGTAAGAATTCAATATGCAGAAAAATTAAATAAATAGATAAGAGCACCCAAATCATTAGACAGACAGACATAGATAAAATTAAATGTTGAATTACATCAAGTGACCAAGCCGTACATGTAGTCTGAGGTAAGTTGCTTTGTTAGGTGCATAACAAAATTTGAAGGAAATTTTGGAGAGTTCATGTGGAAAATTGTTCCTGGTGATACTGCAGGGAGTATTGAATTATAATTTAAGAAGGAAATGCTTAATTTTGTTTTATTATTACTGGAGTATACTTGGGTAGCACTAGCAATTTTTTTTTTATTTTGCTTTTAAACCAAGTCACTGTTTTTTTTTTTAAATCACTTTTTCCTCTATATGTTTAAAATCCGAATAAAACAAAATCAACTCTATTTTGTTTAGCCAATTTAATTCAGTTTTAGTATTTGGCTAAATTGGCGAGTGTTAGCGCTACCCTAGGTATAATAAATCAACTTGTGCTTAAAGGTAATGAAAGACCACTGACTGCGTAAGTCGGTTTCCTATCACAAATATGTTGTCTGTCCACAACAATGATAATAATCCAACTATCATTTGGTAAGATTATTTTTTGTGTTTGGCCAAAGTCGTGCAGAGGGCACGTTCAGAATTTCCCAACACTTGCTTGAATTTATGCAGTCTTCATGAACGTAGAACTAAAACTTTTTTAAAGTGTTCAGAAGGTAGAATTCATAAAGCAATTATTATGATTATCATTGTTATTTTTTGTATTGTTTTCACTTGTGTTTCTTAGTTTTAAAACATACCGTGTACCAATATACTTCAACAAATTTGTAACTTTTTAGTAAAAACCAATGTTAATTTTAAAACCTGACCATTTCTAACCCCACATGTTTTATTTTTTAAAGGTTGCAAGTAGATTGTAAAAAGGAGTTCCTGCAAATGCTGTTGCATGAAAGCTCCATGATATGTAACATGTCAATAAAACGGCAGAAAAGATGCTATGTAAAACTAGCACACATTATTTAACAGTAAAATGCTGCAGCATTTCTTCAAGGGGAGCATGATGGAGTGCAATTTTTAAAAATATTTTGATGCTATTATTGTTTAGTTCAAAGGGTAGAATTTTTCAGCCAGTAATTTTAAAGTACCAGGTTGCAGTATTTGACAATCATGGAGCAATATTGTTACATGAGTTTGAACAACATAAATTTATAAATTTAAAAATTTGAAACACAAATTAACTAGTTTCTGTCCTGTTTTCCTATGTAGAAAATGCAGCAGCTTGTTTCACAAGAAACTTTACAGTTTGTTTTATGTAAAAAAAAAAAAGCAAACCAATAATGCAATCAGCTTTTTTTCTTTCCCAACTGTGCTCGTGCCTGCCCATGTGCTGACTTCTGGGGTGCGTCCAATCACCTTCCGCCATGATTGATTGACGATGTCCACCATTACAGCCAGCAAGGATCTCGCCCAGACATCCTATTTCCTGGCAACCAACAGGTGTTTGTTGTCACTTAAAAAAACCAACCTTACACCCCTGTGCCTGGCAGTGGAATAGTCCAAGCTCCACTCATCACCAGAGAGGGCAAGTCTGTTCCATTGTTGAGGATGGGTGGTGCAAGTAGTTGTTTGCTGTCCTTGTGGCTATGAACAAGTGCCTTGTGTATAATTTCTACTTAAAGTTTTTTAAGTAAATGGTGCCACAGTGGTGCTCTACAAAGGCTGACATGGGCATCATTAAAGTGCAACAGTGGTGCTGAGAGTGTTCAGGCATAGAGATGTTTTATCAAAATTTAGACCAAAAAGCACATGGTCATTTGCTTTCTTAAAAGATCATTTTCTATTTGATATCTATGTGTATGTTGGGTGTATCGTAAGATCTCTACTGGATTAATATTTTGATTAAGTCTTGATAATAATTTAGGAAAATTACGGATCCAAATTGGGGCAAGAGAATTTAACAGTTGAAGCCCGAGTACTGTCAAATGAAATTCATATAGGTAAAAGTTATCTGAAACAGAAAACTGCCCCAGTTTTGATTTGGTATTATTTTTTTAAATAGTAAAATTCACATTTTCCCCAAGATGCACCCAACCACTGCTCTGCAAAAATGGAAAGAATAGTTCAAGTTTTACTTTTAGTCAGAAAAGAAGAAAAACCGAGATCATTTCTTCTCGAAATATCTTGAGACTTAGGTGTATGAAGCTTTATCAATGTTTACTCGAATTATTCTGTCCTTAGCAAAGCAGTTATTAAAAGAAAATGCTCAGTGCTATGTGTCAAGGTCTAAAACTGAAAAGATGAAGCAAAAGTCTACAGAAGGGACAGCCTGATTCTGAAGAAAATTAAAAGAAAAATGCTTCAAAAGTTCCATCTATAAATCATTTTCACTTTTTCAGACTCCCCTTCTGTACACTTCTGTTTTCTCTGAACAGTGAAATCATGATCTTCAATTTCAGGAATTTATTTCAGGAAGGCAGGCACACACACACACACCTTTGCAGTTGACTCATGTTCATGGCAATTTATTGCATAAATTGAGTTTTTTTTTTCCTCTTTTTTTCTCTCCAGTCTCCACCTGACTGATATGTGCCTACGTCATAAGCCCACTGTGGTGGCTTGCGTTTGTATACATCTGGCTTGCAAGTGGTCCAGTTGGCAGGTATGTTTTTTTTTTTTTTTTTTTTTTCATCATTTAACCTGTCTGTACTTTATTGTCCCATCTCCTTTTCATTTCTAATGGAATGTTTCAGCTAGTAGCCAGTTTGTGTTTATTCTAGACTAGTTTTTTTCCACTTCTTTTNATAAGATCTCTACTGGATTAATATTTTGATTAAGTCTTGATAATAATTTAGGAAAATTACGGATCCAAATTGGGGCAAGAGATTTTAACAGTTGAAGCCTGAGTACTGTCAAATGAAATTCATATAGGTAAAAGTTATCTGAAACCAGAAAACTGCCCCAGTTTTGATTTGGTATTATTTTTTTAAAGAGTAAAATTCACATTTTCCCAAGATGCACCCAACCACTGCTCTGCAAAAATGGAAAGAATAGTTCAAGTTTTACCTTTAGTCAGAAAAGAAGAAAAACCGAGATCATTTCTTCTCGAAATAACTTGAGACTTGGGTGTATGAAGCTTTACCAATGTTTACTTGAATTATTCTGTCCTTAGCAAAGCAGTTATTAAAAGAAAATGCTCAGTGCTATGTGTCAAGGTCTAAAACTGAAAAGATGAAGCAAAAGTCTACAGAAGGGACAGCCTGATTCTGAAGAAAATTAAAAGAAAAATGCTTCAAAAGTACCATCAATAAATCATTTTCACTTTTTCAGACTCCCCTTCTGTACACTTCTGTTTTCTCTGAACAGTGAAATCATGATCTTCAATTTCAGGAATTTATTTCAGGAAGGCAGGCACACACACACACACACACCTTTGCAATTGACTCATGTTCATGGCAATTTATTGCATAAATTGAGTTTTTTTTTCCTCTTTTTTTCTCTCCAGTCTCCACCTGACTGATATGTGCCTACGTCATAAGCCCACTGTGGTGGCTTGCGTTTGTATACATCTGGCTTGCAAGTGGTCCAGTTGGCAGGTATGTTTTTTTTTTTGTTTTTTTCATCATTTAACCTGTCTGTATTTTATTGTCCCATCTCCTTTTCATTTCTAATGGAATGTTTCAGCTAGTAGCCAGTTTGTGTTTATTCAAGACTAGTTTTTTTCCACTTCTTTTTCTTTTGCCGATTGGTTGTTTTATTGACATATAGATAATTTTATTTTGCTGGAAATTTTTCTTAACCCTAGCCAAGAAAAAATAAGAAAAAGCTTTAAATGCACATCTTAGAAATGGTGAGGATGTTATAAAATTGTGGTGATTAATGTGTAAAAAAAAAAAAAAGGATTAAGCGTATGTAAAAATATTTTTCTAGATTCCAAAGTCCAGTGAAGGCAGAGATTGGTTCTGGTATGTTGACAAATCTGTCACCATGAAACAACTGGACGGTAAGTTAATTTCACTTCACCCTCACATTGAAATCCTTGGGTATATCAATACATCTGTCAGAATACCAAGGAATGTACTCTGTTATAGCTTTCCTCATTTCCTATATCAAAGGCTCTATTCCCATAGATTTTAGATCGATCTATCCCCGCGGGGAGTCTCACTAGATTACTTTCAGATAATCTGACTTAAATGTCCGTCCCGCCTACTACAAGCTTTAAGGGGGTAATTAACTTTCGTGTCCGCCCGGCTGACAGCTATTTAGCGTGAACCCCCAGGGAGTTAGGTCGATCTAAAGTAGGTCGATCTAATCTATGGAAATGGTGTGTAAGGGCCTATTTGAATTTTGGTGTGGGTGTAATAGTATGGTTTTACATTTTTTTCTTAAATCTATATATATTTTTCTCTTCTCCCTTCCAAAAAAGCTCATTTCACTAAATTAATAGCAACTTGAAAAAGATAATAAAATGCCAGCAGTAAAGTTATTATATATTTTAAAAAGATTGCACAAGATTGTGCATATTTTAAGTAAAATGTTGTAGAAACATCATTTTTGTCTTGATAATTGTTATTATTTTATTTATTTTTTTATACTTTGATCATATTTTTACATATTCCAGAGTTGACCCACGACTTCCTGTCAATCCTAGATAAATGTCCTAGCAAGTTGAAGAAGAAGATATTAACGTGGAAGGTGGGCTTTATTTACAACTCTAACAGTCCAGCTTGCTTTCATCTGTCACTTGGCTTCCATGTCACAAAAGAATTTCAGATTGCAAGTTGCACTCACTTTTAAGATGCCTTTTAAGATCAGCATAGGGATTTCCAACATTTGCCATAAAAGTTGCTAGACATTAAGTTAATCCTGAAATTGTTAAAAATTTGGATATTGTTTGATTGTTGAGTGACTTAAAACTGTAAGATTTTCAAAAGGTTGCACAGATGACCATATTGTGTTTGTCTTTACAAACTCACAGCTTTAAGGCTAACAGTATTTAAAATGAAGGTTCTAAATGTGGAAATCGGTCAAGAGCCATCAATTCTGACTCCTGTGCATATTATTTATTCCTTGAATTTTTCTTCTTTTTGTAGCCAGTAGAGTAAAAAAATATTCTTAGTAATTTTATTCTTTGAAATGGTATCATACTCTTCTTCATTGCTGTTTTTCTTTTTCAGACCTCATTACAAAGTGGAGGACTTTCAGAAGAGCAACGCAGGGACCAAGAGGGGCCAGACCCAAAGAAAGCAAAACTAGCGCCATCTACATCAAGTAGTAGTGCAGCCTCTAAAGGAGCACCCTCATCTTCAGGCTCATCAACTAAAGTGGCGCCATCTGCTACAGTGACTTCATCTTCTGCTGGCGTGGCTGGAAATGGTGCCCACCCACCGCAGAAGAAAGCTGAGCATGGGAACATTTTTCAAAAGTTTGAACAAACAGAGACTAAGACACTGAAAACTGACAGTGCCGGAAGTGGTCATCCTGGTCAAGGGATTTCTGCCATGACCTCCAGCTCGACTCACAAGCCACCCGAAAAACACACCACGTCGCTCAAAGAGTACCGAGAAAGGAAGGAGAAAAGTGCCCAGGAACGCTTGGTGCAGAAAATGAGTAGCAGCGCTGATGTTAAAGTGGAGGAGGAATTAGAACCAGGTGAGATTCCTGAGGACTCTCCTCATCCCAAACAGCACTCGGGTGACCAGCGCCGATCTCATTCTCACTCAGAGATGAGGTCTGGTAAAGAGCCTTCCCACAGGACTGACCCTTCTCACAGGGAGAAATATTTGGCCGATTTACATCGTAGGAAACTTGGCGAGTCTCGGTCAGCCACTGATCAAAGAGCTGGTGATGACAGGACTCGTGTGGCATATGAACGTGAGAGGGGAGGAGCAGGCGACTCCACATTCACTAAGCACTCCACCCACTCTTCTAGACCTGAAAAGCATGGGTTTTCTGGAGGGCAAAGGTCAGATGGTCGTCGGGAGGGCTCGGGTCAAAGGTCACATGGGCAGTCTAGGCATGAACAGCAAAGACACGAATCAGTAACGAGGCCTTCTGCGAACAGTTATAGCTCAGAGCAGCAACGCAGCCTTGAACTAAGCGTACATAATCAACAGCACTTTAACGAAATTAAGAAAGCTGCTGCTAAAGATCGCCACAGTGTTGGCCACCCAGGTAGCAGTAGTATAGGTGGGTCAGGTAGCTCCTCTGTGCCACCTTCAGGAAAACATAGTGGTAGCACAAGATCTCACACTTCTGCAAAACATCCTGCTTCTGAGTCGCGCAAACGGGAACTAAGTCCTGCTGGTGGTCCGCTGAAATTAAAAATATCTACCTCATCTTTAAAGACAACATCCCCACACGCCCCACCACCACTGAAAGTACAGCGACGTGATCAGATGTCGTCTTCGTCATCTCAGATTACTGTTCCGCCTCCACCAGTACCTGCAGATTCACTACAGAGTGAGGTCCAAGCTGCATTGTTTTCCGACAGTGAACACAATGGCAGTAACACGGGATCGCCTCAAGTCTCCCAACCTTCAACACCAACTCAAGATGCACTGACCAAGATTCAGATGAATCTGCAGCAAGTCATTGAGATGAAAAAAGCCACGTTACATCGCCAGTTGCAGCAACAGCAGCATCAACAGCAGTTTCCCCCCTCCTCAGGGACTTATAATGCTAGCCAGCAGCAGCAAAACTTTCCGTATGGACAGCAAAGTCACCAATTGCCACCAATGCCAGACCAGCCACCTCCTCCGCCTCCACCACCTCCGCCCTGATCGCCCACCGGAGGAACACTCTCTACCTATTATGGGAGATATCTGGAACGAGGTTGATGTATGAAATTTCTGCTTTATATTAACTGGAGAGTTTTCATCTAGCCCACTCCAGTGAAAGGATGTTATCAATGCAATTACGGAGATGGGTCTGTAAATTTTGAAGCCTTATGTTGCTAGTTGGGGTTGGAAAAAAAAGTGAGCATACAAAACATAAATCCAGATTTCTTGATAATAAGCAGTTACTCGTTATTTTTACTAGTACAAGGCTAAAGTTCATTTAATGCTAGAGTCTTCATTAGATAATGGGTATGGACTCTTTGGATCCCTACAAAGATGGGGGGAGGGGTGCATTTCTCAGGCACTGTTACATTATATAAGAGTGTACAAATTGCCTTCTTCAGGTTCCTTAATTGGAAACCCAAAGTATAATAGGAATGCCCTGTGTATGCAAACTGAATCTTTTAATGTTGCCCTGGAAATTCTACTAGTGGGATATGCATGCTTTTCACCTTAGACCAGGCACAAGGAAGCTAACAGAAAAAAAAAATACCTAAAAAGTACTGGTCTCTCTGTGGTGCACGGAGTTCTGTGTTATTCTGATGTTGCAGATTGGGGTGCATTATTGTGCCATCTTAATCAGAAGGAAAAAGGGGGTGTTTGGTGCAGGGCACTTTGCATTTCTTTTGTGATTTATTTATTATCATTTATTTTAATGATTTTGAGAAAAGATCATTTGCGAGTAGCTTCTCCTGCAAGCTTTGACCACTGTCCTAAGTAGTGGGGAAGAAATTGTGCCAACAAAATGGGTAGCGAGGTTCATTTGATTTGATGCTCGTAGAAATACTTATTGTACAACTTACTTCACTGTTTGTATATGTAATCCCAATTAATCAAATGTTAAAGTGGTCAAAAATGGGGTCTACTTTTTTTTTTTTTTTTCTTTTTTTAAATAGGAAAATGCGTAAGTTGATGTCTGTTTGTAAATTTGTTTTGTCTGGCAACAATTAAGTGATGAATGTTGCACCAGATTTTGTATTGAATGTGATAGTAGGGATTCTATTGGTAGAATACCAAGAAGGTACTCCTTAAATGTTCCAAAAAAGTTTCTATTCCTCTTTTGCGGTTGTAATGCTCTGCTAAATTGTCACTCATCAATTCTCTCAGTTAAAAGTAGTTTACATATTGATCGTTGTTTTATTTATGGAACCATTTGAAATTAATTCAGCACAAACATACTTATGTACTACAGAAAAAAATCAATTTGTTGAGTTTACCTTTTTGCAGGGAGCGACTTTAGCTTAGAGTGTTTCTTCATGTTAAATTTGGTAAATAGATATGTGTATGGTGTGAGGCAGCTTTGAGGGTATTTTTTGTATAATATCACTGTTATAAGTGGTACAGATTTTGTTGCTTGCTGACAGATTGCCCACTACAGGTATTGCAACTAGAAATGTTTTTGTCTGCTCAACAATGTGGTTATCATTGCAAAGTCTTGCTATTGAAAATTTGTCCACCGTTCCTCAGCGAAGTTTATGAAAGGAAAATGTTATCATGTAACCTTGGTGTATTGTGTGGATATGAAGTTGGTTATTTATATTCTGCTTAATACTATTTGGTAATTAAGATAAACCTTGGTAATAAAGATACTTTTCTGAGCCTTGATAAAGCTGGGAATTCAAATGTAATTCGCAAAGGTTTTAAATAGTCACTGAACCATACATTCATATGTATATTTTCCTTTGCTTTTATCTATAAATTGGTCAGAAATTGGCACAAGAAGATGCAATATCAATATAATACTTAAATATTGTTTAATGTTAGATGTTTTAGTTTAAGTTAACTTTTATTGTTCACATGTGGTATGGCCACCAAACTTTCCTGAAATCTTTCCAACAAAATCTAAAATATTTATTTTCTAAGTTTTGGTTAGCTGATAAATAAAAATGTTTTTCAGCACTGACAGAGATGTCAGTTTGACAGTAATCAGTATAATACATTTACTAGTCTAGGATAGAGATAGGCATTATGGGCTATTTATCCACTCCCCAAAAATTGACTTATTGTACATGTTCAGGGTCCATTATTCCAGTAATATTATATTATCTGTAGAAGTCTGAGTAGATAGCTTTATTTGTGAATCTGGCCCTGTATTTGTATTATAAATTATGAGTGCAGTGTTGAGGGAATCCAGAACTTGAGACGGCTAAGAAAGTAAACAATTCAAAACGAGATATTAAAAACTGAACAAGCATAAAAAATTTATGGCATATGTAATGTGCGAAAAAATATAAAAAATTTAATAAAAATTGTAAAAGTAAAACAAAAAATGTTGTTTACATGTATTATTTTTTCATTGAAATTTTGGTTACATGATGCTATGATACTTCAAAATTAAAAACAAAGTCAAAACTGATGTTCAGAATCCAGTCCCTTGTCGTGTTGTCCAGTCCCTATCATAAATGAGCACGGTATCATTCTTTGGCCTGAATTACCTAAGTGTTGCATGCAGGCAGCTAAATTGAAATTTTAAAAAAATCACTTTATTGGGGTACCACCAGAGATTTGCAGCAAAAATGCACGTGGCGTTTCAGACTGGAATTATATTCTGCTTTGCAAGGAAGTCCATCCTCCAGACCACTTCTTCAACATTGTCAACCATTTTTCTTCTGACTTGAACATCTTGCCATTTGTTTGGCCCAGAAATCTCCTATCTTTGGTATCACTGCTACAACAAGGAATGGCAAGAGTAGAAATTTGATAAAAGTGAAAGCATAAAATACTAATATGGATCCCTGGGGACCTTTGACGTAGTCCGACCCCTGACACAGAGCAAGACTAAGTGGTAGGGAGATGGCAGTGCGTACTATATTGCACTCCTTGAATTCTTTCTCCATCTTGATGGCCATACCTAAACCTAAAAAGAAAAGAATTACAGACTGAAATAAAATATAGGATATACTAATGGCCAAATGGCAGATTGAAATCTTGTGGTAAAATTAATAGTAGATGCAAATATTCATACACATTTAAAATATATATATAATGTACTATATAAAAGAAAGTGAAATGATGAAAAATTGCTCAAATCTGTTCAAAAATGTGGGACACACATTTGTAAGAGATGATAATTATTCAGTCCAAAGTTTCCTTTTTGAAACCTGACCCCAGATTTGTTTAACGTACCAAACAGAGCGCCTACATCCCTCACCAAAGCTGCAAATGGCGTGGTGTCCAAATGCACCCAAGCTGACTGTGCACACCACTTCTGAGCCAGCGGTAAAGTCCAGGCGGGGTCAAGTCCCAGGACATTAAATATCCAGAACTGACCACTGGCAGACACAAGCAGGAATACCCCAACTAGAACGTGGTGTATCAGGGTCATGTCGTGTGTTGAGATTCTACTGAAGATGACTGCTACCATTATACCTAGAATAAATGGCCTCTCTTTTATAATTTTGTAATTAACCTGATACTCTATAAGGGAGAACTAACATGGTCTACATTGATCATTTTGAAATGTCAGTTTGTTACATCTGAACATCAGTGGTACCTGAGTGAATTAGCTCTAAATCGGGCCGCTACACAAACTGAACACTGTTTAGCTGTAATAATATATAATTGTTTAAAATCAAGCAGTATATAAACTAGATATGGAAATTATGTAATCTTACCTACAGCGGTTCCAAAAATTACTTGATGGGGGAAATGTGTGGCGATGAAACATCTAGACACATTCACAGTAAAAAGAAACGCAGCAAAAAAACTCCAACCTATCATCTTCCACAGTCTGAAGTAATATTGAAAAACATATCAAGTTATCCTCTTTAACATTTCATTTAAAGATTACAATCTATTATAATCAAATTTCTCCATATCTCACTGATTCAATTTGTCATGCAAAAAGAAAAAAAAGAACCTCATTAATAATACAATACCCATCTACCATTCAAACCTATCCACACACTTGCTCAAGACTATTATACACCTACCTTGAATGTGCTCCCTGTCCCAGTTTATAATGTAGCAGTGAAGAGATGATAATATACCATACACTGGCAGTGACCATGGCATGGCCAGATGGACTTCCTGAAATACAAAATACACATTATTAGCTATCCTTTAAGTTGTTGACGATGTACTGCACAATAATTACTATAAGAATAACTAGTAATTGGTTCTGCAAAAAGAAAAAAAAAGCTGTTTAAATTGTTAAGTTTTACATCCAAATTATTTGCTAACAGTAGTTGGTCAAAGTTCTATGGATGTACATGGTTAGGGTGGGGGGATGAATATCAACAATTTTGTACAACAAAATTAGACAAAGCCAATTACAAAATATGTTTGAAATTCAATTTAAGGCATTTGTCTTATTTAACCATAACAACTGATAGCAGAATTAGTTATTTTAAAGGGTTAACACAATAATCCAAAAGAGAAAAGAATATTATCTCTAATAAAACTTTTTTGCTACATTAAAAGTAAAAGACACATTGACAAAAGTTTATTAATAATAAACAACAATATAAAATGCTGGGGCAAAGCTCATGTTAAGTTTTCGTCCAACAAAAAATAATTGCCTTTTTTTACCAAATCCTGGTAAAATATTACATTATGTTAATACTACCTGGTCCTGTTTCACAGGTTAATCTGAACTGGTCTAGGTGTGGTGGTGATATACCATACAGGTCTGTTATCTTGACCCACCAGTAAGGCCTGTGTCCATATAATATCCTGAGTATATATGAATAAATATATTTAAAATACATGTGTGCATATGCATGTGTATGTGCGCACATACAGTATGTATATACTGGGAGTATTGTGTATAAACTCAACAATTCATAAAGAGGGATAATGAGTTATAAAGATGTGTTATTAAATGCATACATATCACAGCCCATTTTCTACCCTCTCATTCAGTCAGTAATGGAATTATACATGTACACAAGTCTGTGATTTTGTGGAAAGAAGATTGGAGAGAATCAACCAGCATAATGCCACACTGATACCTATAAGATCCTTACCCAACCCCCATGAATGTTTACAAAAGTAGGGCAGCATTCTACATCATCTATAAATAATAAATGGACAGTATGAAACAGAAAACTGGATATTTTTAAATCATACCATTTGAGCACAGCATTCAACCATTCTGATATTGCAGCAACCCAGATCACACGCTTTCCCACACTGTTGTGGAGACAGTAGAGCAGTGGAAAGTAAAACAAAAATGCAGCCCTCGGATCTCCAAGATGGGAGAGAAACAACATCAATTCACTCTGACCCTAATAAACCGGAAGAAAAAATATCATATATGTATTAGAAATGAGTGAAGCCTATACTGATATATGATGTGGCAAAGGTTAAGCAACATTAACCACTGGGTCAATTTTTTTTTTTTTTTTTTGTTTTTTTTTTGTGGGGGGGGACGTAATAACTTT